GGAATGCATACTTTGGCCCCATAATCTCTAAACCCAACTTAATATTATACACCCAACTTCTACACTTTTCAACTGGTCGTTTCGTTACACTTTAGTGATCCTGTGAGGGTAGTAATGGTTTGATTCCTGCCAACCTTAGTGACCATGTCTCATAGACGCTGTTACATCTATGGATATCTTGTTGGCTGATGTACACTAGCCAAGGGCTTAATATCCATCTGAATTTTCTCAGTGACTGACTAACTAAACAGCTGTCAGGCTTTCTTGAAAACTGAGATCATTAACGTATGAGAACCATCAATGGGAATCATTTCTGACTCTAAAACTCTAGTTAATGCCTCAGGTGATCTGACCAATAATCCCGGTCCACTAGTTTTCAAATACTACTAATGATAGAAAATCAGAATTTACTGTAGTTTTTACAGCTAAGTTACTTGGTCTTTTCAACTTCGGCAAGATTTGTAAGCCCTGTATTATTATTACAAATAAGTTAGGAAACAACTGAAAGCTACCCAAAGTTGACTGAAATACAGTTCAAAATAAACTACCTATAATTCTAATTGCCTCTGACGTGATTACAGGGCTAACAACTATTTCCCATCAGATGCAAGATTTTGCACACCACTCTCCTCAGTAAGTGCTAATATTATTTACCACCAGTGACTTCGCCATCTTTTTGAACTTCGCGGCCAATCACCATTGGGTAGACTCCGTCAGTCCTAATTTAAGTTTCTCAGTACTCCTGAAATTTTCTGGGATGTGTTCCACTACATCTACTAATATAGAAGTTGTTAAGATTCATTGTCATTTTCTAATCTTTTCTTGAAGACCAGTTACACCCTATAATGACGTTTTTACAGAGGGTTGAAAGTCATAGAAAGCTGCTGCAAGATAACATTCAAATTCTCAATCATCTGTCTAACCAGTTCTTCTTCAAATGCAATTTTAATATCCTCCCCGTCGGTCTCAGCTCAGAAAGAAAGATTCAGTATCTCCGTATGCATTAGGGAGCAGACATATCTGTGGTAGCATATGCTATATACAGAAAGAATCCTAAATTGACCATTGCAACACGAGCCGGTACTGATACGATATAGGTATAGCAAACAACCATCATTACTTATTTGTTTAGTTGGGATTCTGCGAGCGCTACCTACGTGCCTTTCTTCTTGACTTAGCCTGCCCATTTGTGCATTGAAATTACCTGCTAAGAACAACCATATTGGAACGCTTGGTTTTCAGTAGGTGGCCAGACAGTTTTTCATAAAAATCATGCTTCATTTCATTCGAACTGCAGTTTGTGGTTTTGTAAACAGACAATACAAAAATCTCACAGCGTTTCAGCATTCTTTTCAGTTCTCGCTTCACCATTCAGTGGGAAAGTGATCAGTCTACTGCCAAGTGGCGTCCAGTCAAACATCATACTTTCTGCCATAGGCATTAAGGCTACACATACACCTAGAAAAGCACAAGAACTAGACGAAGATTGTAGGGCATGAGGAAGTGCGCTATTTTCAGGGTCAAGCTTTTGTAACACCACCAGTACGAATTGTTGCACATAAGGATTTTTCGAGCTGCAGACAACGGTGTGCCACACTTTTTCGGTTTTTGTTGCACTGTTCAATGAAACACTACATAGATGACTGTTAGTTGTAACTCAGCTGTGAAGTGTTGCTTCTGCTGCAAATCAGTCACTATGGCACAGGTTTAAACCCCCATTTACGTTTTCTAAAGGTTGTATATTTTCACTAGCATTTATCTTCGAATTGTTTTTCCACCTACACGCCTTTGTCTACTTTGATATCAGTCTTTTTCTGTCCTCTTGTTCTTTGCTACTTTGAAATGATTTAAAAATTCCCATCATGTAAATTAAGAGACAAGGCATATAAGCGAACAATATCGTTTTTAATTAGATCTTCAAGTACAAAGCAAACCTGGTTAAATGCTTCACTAACAGAGCGAGAATAATATTTTCGGGCGATTTGATTCAGAAGGAATTAGAATATATTTGTAATTCATTGGTCAAAATGGGGTACCCTTTAAGTTTCATAAAAAGATAAATAGACGAAGAGAGGGGAAACAAACTTGAAATTATTACCGTACAAAAACCGTCGTCCATGAAGTTGCAACTTAATGGAGATGTGGCGGAAGAAGTTTTATACCACAGACTCCTTAAAGCCATTAAGAGGACCTTCTAAGCCCCACAACCCTGTCTATCATTTTCCAGTCGACCAATTGTTGCTGCTCAGACAAGAGATAAGGTATCTAGTTTTGCCATTTCTATGCGCATTTACAAGTTTAGCTGCTCCTGTGGAGAAAGCTATATAGGGTGTACTACTAGACAACGAACGTGTTGCTGAGCGCCTACCTTATGGCTAGGAAAAGAACAGATGAAACCCATCAGAAATTAGATTTTATCTCATCTAGTTGACAGTGGTCATTTGGTAGATAAGAACAATGCTTTCACGACTATTCACTCCACACCACCTTATATTTCGAAAGGTATTCGAACTCGTCTTTCACACATATCAAAAGCTGTGGAGATTCGAGCTAATGATTCCAGTCTTTGTACCCAGAAGTTTGTACATCCCTTATCTCTCCCATGCCCATAAAATACTTAATTAAGAACTTTATCATTGACATTTTTTCCTATCCTTCTCATATACTTACAATCTGGAGGTTTGTGGAGATATATTAGGTGATTCTTAGCGGTTTCACTAGTGCGCACTACGGAGGAGTCCCGTATTAGAATGAAACAGCTGTCCAATGCTCTCAGGTTTCCAATGTCCCTCCAGCTGATGTCATTCCAATCCACTGTATTTGCTTAAACTTTGTCTATCCACTTATCTCGTTCTTCAGTATTACGTTAAACTGTTTTTCCTAAGTTATCCAATCATCTACATTTTCATGCTGCTTCTTTGGTTCTTATCATTATCATCTATATTGCATATGCGTGCTTTAGTTAACCTTATGAGTTTCATTCTTTGTATTATCACCATTGTTATTCTTAGAAAATTTATCATCACATTAACTGACAAATCTACATGATTGGTTTAATTTTTAAATATATTAAGCACTTTGAAGTGTGTTAACTTGAACCGACTTACTTGTATATGAGGTTCTAAGTTGATCTTGTTTATCTTCTGCTTTAGAACTTCATGCTATCCATACATTCAGACCACAAAAATTGACTACGGGATTCATGGACAGATGTGAAGTAGACAGTTTACCATCCTAGTCAAATGAATGACTACATTTAGATCCCTCATGCATGTCGCAGTAACACAGTATACTTCCATGGCCGCGAATAACAGTGAAGCTTTTTGTATAACTCAATAAGTATTTTGGAGTGTCATTTCAGAGATATGAAACGGATTTAGAAGGCAGTGTGAAAGAAGGTTGGTGGTAATCAGAAACATATTACTGCCACTGGAAGTATGCGAGAAGTTGACAGTTCTAGACTGAAAACATCGTGGAATTTCACTTTTGCAAAGATGTCTGAAAGAGGAAGTGGATTGTATTCTCAGGATCACAAAGTTAGAGGGACATGAAATCCAAGCTAGATACGAAGATTCATGGGGTTGGTTGGTCTTTAGAGTTGCATCCGTTCTTTAAGAAATCTTACCATTAACGAAAGAAAATGTCAAGTAAGGTGGAGTGATTGTTTTCTAAAGATAACATTTTATAACTCCTTTTTATGAAGAAGGATGGTAGTACTATTGGGATGCTGGATACTTGAAAGCAACACTTCACTGTCATCCCATCCCTGTCCAGTCAAGAGTACAACTTCCAACTCAGACTACCATTGCATTGCAAGTTATTTGTACTATGATGGTAGTTACTTCCAATTTCACAACTCTTGAACTAACCTTTCTGTCATTATAGAAAAGGGACCAGTCTAACCAGAATACTTATGTCAAGGTAGTAGCTATCGGTCGCATAGTGTGAACAAACATTTGAAGCACACTTGTTTGAGATGACGAAAATTTCTACATTTGAAGACAATCGATCATACCAACTGCTAATATAATACACAGAATGTATATTTTGGCACAAATGACAGGTAAGATATTACACAATGTAAGACTTATGCGTCGAAGGCGTACACACTTGTACGAAACATCTTTAAGATATCTCTATGCTTTGTACACTATATTCAATTCCTACAGCCTAAATAGATCGACTGTAATACACAAGAAGACAAAAACATGTCACATAATATCACAAACTCAACGAAGTGTGTCTTATGTAAACTGAAGTTAGAATACTACTATTCAGTTGCATAACGCACCACAGACAGCCTAATGTGATATATATAAAAACACGTTGCATTTCATAAACTTTGATGGTTTATTCTTGACACTGCATTGCCAGTTTATGTCACATTGTATGAAGTGATAGCTGACAAGTTCACCTAGCCTTCATCAATAATTAGCATGTCTGTAATTGGGTGAGTTTCCCTTAAAAAAATTGAAGGTGGACAACTCCACTTTTGTGAATAAAATGCAGTTGAGTATAGACAACTCTTTGAAGTCAGCCAGAAGTATGCTAACTCCAAAAACACTTGATTATTCGAATCGACTAAACTCTATTTCCCATTACCAAATAGAAAGAGAAAGGTCGACAAATGCACGCATTCATCATTTTTTATTATTATTCTCTTTAGATAATCTTAAAGTTAATACAAAGAAGAAAGAAAACTCAGAGAAACAATAAAATATGCAAGATCCTTGAAAAAAAGCGAAGTGGAGAACTAAAGAAACGAAAATCACCATCATCATTTGGAACTCACTCTCTTAGGTAAGAAAATGATGAATGATGATCAATCATACAAGAAAGAATAACACAACAACAGGCAGATAAATATCAACGGAAAACTGATATAAAAGTGCATAATCAATAATCTAGAAAAGATATATATATATATATATATATATATATATATATATATATATATATATATATATATATATATATATTGGTGATGAAAAAGGCGATAATCATTCTAACACGTTTAAGTAGTACAGTTGGCGTAGTTCTTCAGCTTCTTGTCGCATTACTTCATGTGATCGATTGACACGATTTTTCACTTTATCATGTTTTTGTAACTAGAAGTAAAGAACAGAAATGTTATTCACCACAGTTCACTTGCTTATACAAAGGATTTTACAGTTCAATTGAATCTGATTACTTGTGTATCGCTTTCTACATATTCCCCGATGCAATCGGAGAGACGAAATGACGCCGGTTGGTGAAAGTCTTCGGGAAGCCAATTGGCCGATGTGTCTTCACTTCTCTCGATGAAAGTGAAAGTAAGGATGGGGACATGGAATGTCCGCACCATGTATGAACCTAGCGAGGCGGCCCAGATTGCCGAAGAAATGAGAAGGTATGGTATAGAAGTGCTAGGAATCTGCGAAAGCAGATGGAATCGAAGTGGACTCTCCAAACTGTCAACTGGAGAATCAATAATCTACTCCAATATTGTCACCCAGACGACAACCACGAGCACACTGAGTTTTGGAGTGGCTATCATGATGTCCCCAACACCATCGAAGGCTCTCATGCAGTGAAAACCAACCTCCTCCAGTATCAGGATCATGACAGCAAGATTCAACTCAAAAGGAAGGAAGGTCACAATCATACAACGCTACGCTGTGCACCTACAAATAATGCAGATCAAGAGAAGAAGGAGGAATTCTACAGACAACTGCAACCAGTATTGGACAAGACTCCAGTTGGCGACATGAATGCCAAACTGGGAACGGACAACACAGGAAGAGAACTTATCATGAGTCGAGAAGCGCTCAGTGAGATGAATGAGAATGGAAAACTGTTTGCAGAATTCTGCGCATTCAACAATTCGGTGATTGGAGGCAGCGTGTATGAACACAAGGTTATTCACAAAGCAACATGGATTTGATTTCACCAGACACCAGGACATACTACACTAAAAATCAGATCGACTTCACTTCAATCTGAATAAAGTGGAGACGCAGCCTACTGGACACAACATCAAGGACGGAGAGCAGATGTAGGTGGTTGAGACCACGCACTATCTAGTGCGAGGAACCTACAAAATCAAGTTAAAAGCCTTCAGGGAACTTGGTGATAGACCGTAGTTCAAGTTCAACACCCAGAACAGAAAGTGATGGACGAAACTACAAAGGACATCTTCACGTCAGCCATCAGAACAAAATGGGAGACACTGAGCAACATCCCTGAAGGAACCTGTGTGGATGAACCCTGGAAGTCTTTGAAAGCTATGTGGAAAGAAGCCTGCATAACCGTATCAGGAAGGAAGAAGAAAGAAGATAAGGAATGGATCTCGACGGACACATGGAAGCTGATAGAGGAGGGAGAGGAAGATGGTGAAGCAGAAGATGAACCAGTGGAGTGCAGGGATGACCAACGAGAAGAGGAACTGAGTACAACGTATAAAACACTGGACAAAGAAGTGAAGAAGAGTGCACGCAAAGACAAAAGGCACTTCCACGACATACTGGGAAGTGTGTAGGGGAGACAGAGACCTGACAACATTGTATCAAATAACCAGGCTAATATCTGGAAGCGTGACATGGAGAACATCATGTGAGGAAGAAATGAAAGCTTCTGGGCTGTCGTAGAGCCAGGTTCAAAAGACTGCAGAGAACAGAGTGGAATGGAGACGTTCTACTGAAGCCCCCTATTTTCCACTAGGAACCCAAGAGACAAATAATAATAATAATAATAATAATGAAATTGCTTACACCCACATCAACACACTGATCAAACTGCAGAACAGGCTCAACTTCTTTACTGGTCACTAATAAGAGTTTAACTTTAAGGTGATCTATTTGACAATCTTATGATATGCCAACATTCCACTACTTCAAGCTACTCTGTGGTGCATAGGTCTGGTGATTTGGTTTCTCATCATGTATTTGTCCGATTAAACAGAAGTTTCTATAACATCCAGGGTGCCAAAAAATATCATATAATGATTGTTAAGAACGATTTCACTGATTAAAAAGCTTCATAGATTTGGTAATTGTTGTATCAGCTAAAAAGTCAGAAATGTGAATCTCAGATAAATTTCACTCGTCGTATTATTTCATTCATTTTAAAAGTCGTTTTACTTATTACCTAACTGGCAACATTGTTGTATAGCTCTGTTCAAGAAGCTCTGATTCACGCATCACTCGTTTCTGTATGACCTATATTTCGGAAATAAGTGCATGTTGAGCGAAACTTATTCTGATGTATTATCCAATGTTCTGTGCTTGAAAACAGTCAATTGTTTCATTTTCATAAATTACAGTGCTTTGTGGGAAAGTAATTTAGTGGTATATGCTGCTGAATGACATCACCTGATGTTTACGGACAGTAAGTATAAAACTTTGAGTTCTATTATAAACGGGTTGGGAAGACGGGATTGCGTGATTCATCGTGCAGGTGGATCAAGTGAGCTGATATATTCGAGACAAATCATATTCAAGGTCAGCGTTAATATAGAACAAGCCAGATTACCCGCTTAAGTCAATTGCAGGCAGACAAAATCATAACCGTAATTTTGTGCAAACTTATGCACTAGGCTATCAAAAATCGCTAACCTATGAACTCTGAAAGAAACTACCTGGTTGCAAAAGATAAATTGAATGGGAAAGATTTTGAAACAATAGCCCAGTGATTTATATTGATAGCACAAGCTAGTGAATCAATGCCTTTCACATTTTTTATCAATACTACTCTGCAAAGGTTCACTAATAGGACTCATCAAGCCAGCAATAGGTTATGGGAAACAGTTAATCCAGTGGGGTTTTGAACCTGGCAATTACTGCTTAAAAGAGTAGCGCTTTAGAGCCAATGTCCTAGGAACCCGAAAAACCAAGGAGCAATGGTACTATTGTGTAAACTTCCGCAACAGTCAACTTCGAGCCTAAGAATATGAGTTTTTGCAGTGGATACATCCTCATTCAGCCACCGGGTAATCTTGTCGCAAGTGATATTTCGATACACCAAGATAAGCAGTTGTAAGCGGACTAATTAGTATAGTGGAGTATAACGTATGAATAGATATGTGTTGAATGACTTGGTTCATACTAACTTGTACAGTGTTAGAATAATCCAGCCAGAAAGGTAAACTACGATGACTAGATTTGAAGATTACAAAAAGTGAATAAAAAACAAATACTAGTCAGATGAAACAAATGAAATAAGACAATGAGAAAAAAGTCTGTTCCTTCGGATACCTGTAAGGTTACAATGTTCGTATTTCCCTATCGGAACACTGTTTACACCAATCCTTCAAATGATATGCAGTTAATTGCAGTATGGTACATAGGTCTAACGATATGACTGTAAAGTCTCTAGGCATTTTAACAGCCTAATCTTCTTACCGTCACTCATAGATACACGGAATCACCATACCAAGCAATATAGATGTTAGGAAAAAAGTGGAGACTAGATGAGATATTAACTGATGCGGTGATGTTATCACTTACCTCAACAAGCAATGTTATCAGGAGTAAGAAATATCTCAGTCCTTCAACCAAGACAAAACATTAATTCCTAAAGTCTAAGCTGTGTAAAGAACATTCAGCTTGCTACTACGAATGTGTGAAACACTCATGGGTCAGTGAAAGACAATAATTAATATGGTATGGGCTCATGATGTCTCGAAATTTTAGTATCAGCCAAGTAGGGGGAATGTAGATTTTCAGATTTGGGTCCATGAAGCAACCAAAATCGACCAATGAAAACTCTAGATGATATGGTACATAATCGACAGCATTGACACAAAGGTATCTACATCTTATCATCAGCATTTTAACTGTTACATTACATTTATGTATTTGATTTACCTTCTCTTCTTTACATCTTATGCTTTTCAGTGACTCTATACATCTATTTATTATTTCTGCTAATGCATTGGTGTGGGATGTGACAATATGAACACAAAAATGCTAAGTTCTATGTGGATACTATCTGATGAATTACGGTTCAGATGCATACACATCTTATGCTTTACATTCTTTGACTTGTCATATCTGATGACTTTCGATGATGATGATGTTTTAATTGATTCTTGTCTTTCCTAATTTATTCTTCACTTTCCTACAGTGAGATAAGTGAGGAATTTTGAACTGAGATAAAGTCATGGCAGATTTTATGAAAGACTACTATCATCTTTATAGAATTGCTCTCATCCGGGGATAATACAACGGAAGTAACTCAAGGATTTAGTGGAGAGTGTGTGTGGGCATAACCATTTAATGTGCATTGTCACGATGAGCTACTGAACTTAATTGCCTGAGCAGTTTCCAAGTAACACTAGCTTTCCAACTTATTTACTATTCGCTGTTGTTACTGTCATTACTTGCATGATGAGAGTGTGATTTACCGTTGTAGGATAAGGAATAACGAGTGAAATTCAATGACATAAGACATTGTCATAAATTGCTCAAGAGCGTAAACAACAGTGGCGATCATATGGTAGATTCTTTGTGCTAAAATAATGAAAGCATTTTGAGTGTATTACCTATGACTACCTATACCCGTTTTTGATCATGTTGTTGTATAGTTACTTTTATGTGGTACATTTCTTGGCGCCCATATTGTATTTAGTTTTATTGTAAATAATGGTAAACTCATATTCATCTTGCTGTAACACTAAGCTTTCAACCATTGAATTCATGTGTACACATTAGAGTCAACTAGTGAAATGTAACTGGACGGTGTGCATCATTACTAATCATGACAAAGAACACAAAACTTGGGAACAAGTCAAATTTACTCAGCAAACGTGTACATATTCGTGCAGTGGACAATGAATCAAGCATACTGTGTGAAAGCGTATGATACTATCTGGCTGTTGAAACCTTGATTGAGGAAGTGCGGTTCAAACTCATAACCCATTGGCTGAAAGTTGAATCCTTAGACCAATGAACTACAAAAACGACGTATAATGTAATAATATACTAGTAGTAAGCAAGTTTTAATATTTAATAAGATATACAATGTATGATAATAAATATGGACAAGAACAAGAAGAAGTATCAAAGATAACGATTAAAAAAACCTACTGCTTTATATATATTATCATTTTCTGGAAAATCATTCGGTTTTCTTGGCAACACATGAACGTGAACATGCTAAAATATCCAAAAGTTATCATTACTATGCATCACAAAAGCTGATCACAATTAATGATAATTACTAGTATACATGAAGGTGGTATTCATCACGAACTGAGATCAGTTTGAGAAAAACTGAAAAACTAGGAGGACTAGACAGCTATCCCGTCCTACTATAGGGTTCCTCACGAGTAAGCACCCACTACTCCCCCCCCCCCTAGGGATCGAACTTAGAACCTTCAGTTATCAAGGTGAACGTGTTAACCACTCAACCACTGGGTTGAAGTTCAATGGTTCATAGTTTCCTACTTCTGTCTATTCCGGACACAGCGTGATTATCCACCAAGGTCTTCAGTTGACTTCCACTTCATTTCAGTCTGGTTGACCCCACAGGTCATTACAACTTCGGGATATGAATCTCGAAACATGTTACTAATGATCTATGGGGTCAACTAGTGGTGGTTATTGAAGGTGTAATGAACATTTGGGTCACGGTGGGATTCGAGCCAGAGGTCTCTGGGTTAGCGACCTGATGCTCGTCCAACTAAGCTATAGTGTCAACAATACGAGTCTACCAAACCATGCAAATCGCAGATAGTCATAGTGATAACCAACATCATGCTCTTCCTCTCTAATTTAGGCTGATTATCATTAGGATGAGAAAACATGATTGTTAAACCATTGTGGATGTGATGAATAGACAGTTACGCTTCGTGAATTCAAATAACAGTCGGGTAAAACCCCTCGTGACTGAAGTGAGATTAAGACCTGGTCATCAACCGGGTCTCCTAGCCCAATTGGTGTAGGCGCAGGGACGTTAACTCAGAGGTTGCTGGCGGAAATCCTACCATGACCCAAATCTTCATTTCATCTCCGGTTATCATTCAGTACGAATATCTATTTAATCATTTTCGTGTTTTGTCGTTTGACTAGACATCAACACAACATAGTTTACACCTGTAACTGTACTGAGGTGGTACTCATTCAGGTGGAATGAGACGATTTATCTGTCCAATGTGTCAATAATATTACAGTTCATTAGTTCTAATATCACATACTGAACAGAGCTGATTCTTGAATATCTTATCTGACCTAATACAGAAATTCGGTTCGCCAAATTAGATAGTTAACTTTCAGTCAGTATACAATGAGCTGGAATTCCCTTCTTCATCCATCAATTTCTGAGCAGTCACATAATACTATAGCTTTCAAACAATTAAGATCACTATCTGGTAGTTTCACCGGCAATTGGTGCACATATATCAGTGAGGATATAATGGTATTGGTGATTTCGACTACATTCAAAGGCTGGGTGTACACATGACTATCTGAAGACATCCCTGTCCATTACATATAATAGCGATCTTCAAAATACAGCTTGCTTGTATGCAGTGAAATAGGTCAATGACTCAGATAGACAACTTGCAGCCACATAGGAATCAATGATTATTGAACTCCCTCCTCTACTCAGATAATTTGCTTGGTGAAGTCATCACTTCTGTCAGCTGATGGTTAGAAGTTTAGTACAGAAATACGTATAGTTGCCTAGGTGAACAAATGTAAGATGAAGGGGGATATTAATCCCCCAAAAGGGTAAGTAAAAATGGCTTCGTATACTCGACTAATGGTATCTACCACCTGGTTGTCAGAACACTATGGTCGATGAACTGTCACCAGAATTTTTGATATACTGGTTAAACCAAACAGTCACAACTTAATTCGAATACTTTCCGAGACCCTTCAGACAAGTAGACAAAAAATTAAGTTTTAAGGTCACTTTCATGAAACGTCACGGGTTCGTATCCCACTCCTATCGAGAATGGGGCATTCAGGTAGTATCATTAGGCCTCACACAATACACTTCGTTCAGTGTCTACTGCACAAATGTACAAAGAGTTGTTAAGTGAGTTTCTCGATTTCGATTGTTACAAAACGAATAATCATTCAACACTGGAGAGTTTCAACAGTTAATTTTAGGTCTAACGTGGCAACAATCAAACTTCTAGATGATGAATTTCACCTGAATGATGTTTAGAGGTATCTACTAGTAATATATGTTATACACTGGTCTCCTGTTATTTAGACTTCAAGAAAGAAAAATCCAAACTTCAGAATCAGTTGAATTACTTCAAAATACCTTTTACCGCGAAAGGATTTTCTGGTACATTTAGCATTTCTCATGTTAGCAACTATATTACTTTTGAGTAGTTGGTATTTATATGCGCAGATTCTTAGTTTCCTCCAACTGACTGGTTGTCTGTTGTTGTCCGTACATTTACTGTCGTCTGATTAGTCGAAGCCATAACTTGATATTCAGCCATGTTGAACTTGTCATTCCCAACCGTTTGTCAACTGTTGCTTACTCGCTGTTTTGCCGTTAAGTCATCGCGAATGTAAGTGTGTATAGATTTATACATTAATTACCATTAAATATAGAACCACTAATTATTTTTACGAAATAACTAGAGTCATTTGACTTCACACGACTCTAGGATGCGCCTATTCGAATGAATCTAACGGTGACTGACTAACTAACTGACAAAATCATAGTAGGACCTCTCACAAAGTTGCGTCGGCTCAAGTTGCCACAGGTGCCAGATAAACGAATATCAAACATACTCAGATTTCTGCTCGCGTTCAAAAGACCCTGCATTTTGTCAGCGTCTTCACCTACAGGACAGGACAATATCGTCTGCATATTCCAGGTCGACCAGGTGGTCTTTAGGGAGTAGGTCAGTCCACGTGAAGTTACAAGGTTACGTCCAGTACGTCTATAACAAAGTCAAATAGGAACGGTGACAGTGGACCTCCTTGGCGCACACCACTGGTTGTCGTCAATTTGTATGACAAGTCACAAACATCGCTTACACTCGAGTGCAAGTTTAAGTAGAGATATCTGATTAACATTATATACCTGGCCGGTGTTCCCTTCACAGTCACATACTGCTACAACATCTCACGGTCGACTAAGTCAAAGGTCGCTTTCAGGTCAAGAAATATGGCAAGTGTCTGCCGCCAGTACGTATGCCTATCTACCAGGACTTGTCGGAGGATAAAAGTATGGTCGATGCACTATTGTCCAGGTCTGAAACTTCCCTGGCTTTCTCTGATTTGCTGATTACTAGCTCCAGTTACGGTACTACACTATATGACTGAGATGACTTATTACCCTACAACTTAGTCCTGAAATATCTAGAAGTTAATGAGAATCCATTTATTTACGTAACTCTGGTTTCGGGGAATAAAATGATTGATTTAATTTTTGTAAACTGTTGCACGTTACGAGTCGGTGATTGACACTATCTCTATGAGTAAGATCATTGTTGCTGTAAAGATAGTGAGCAATAGTCGTGTCATATTCTGAACGGAACTGAGAGGTTTGAAAGAGGAGGGAGGAGAGGGTAGAGTCGAAAGGTGAGAGGTGGGGAAACTCGTCCGATCAATTATTGTAAAGATTGTGTATGTGAGAAAGAAGTCCACGTTATAGAAGAGGTAGAGTTATACAACCATCAAGATGCAGAATCGTGTGTATATTTGATTCCAAGTGACATTACAAATGCTATCACAGATCACAAAAGACCTTCCACCCAATGACTTCAAGCTGTGTTAGCATGTACCATCATTTCATTGCGTCTGAAGATGTTGATGATTGAAAAAAGCTGGAAAAATGATCATTTCATAGTATTGCAACGCAAGATAGTTGTACTGAGTTACCATTAGAGAGAGAGAGAGAGAGAGAGAGAGAATCGTTCATTGAATAAGTTTGGAACGCAAAAAAAAACAACAAACGATTCATTCACTTAAACAGATAAGCCACTTACTGGTACACTTTGACCAGCATCCTCTCCATCTTGGATAGATATTGTTAAACTTGTCGCTGAATGGTGTTCAGCTAATCGTTCAGCAATCCGTCTAACAGTCATATAAAGATCAGCAATCTGTGCAGTAGTCAACTGACAAAATCTTGGTATACATACAATTGGGCAAACAAGTATATCTATAATTAATAATTACAGTTTATTGTTAAGGAAAATAATAGATTTCCATAACAGGAATCCACAATTCTAGACGATTGAAGGTAGTCAATATACTCCGTTTCAGTGGATGTACAATCGTATAAAATTTGCACTAGTTAATTTCAGCACTTCTCATCAACAATACTAGCAGTAGGAAATTATAAGACGCTAAAGAACAGTATTTCGAAATTTTGATAAAAAAAATCTAAAGAAAATCAGCATACTAACGATAAACATAAAAATTCACCTAAATGAGCATCGCGTAGCAACATTAAAGTTGTAAATTTTCATCGCCTTCAGATGGCAAACGCATAAGTTAGTATTCTCACGATGTACAAATTATATACATAATCAATTAAACGAAGTCTAAGGAAAACCAGAACCTCGCCCGGTAAACAAGTTCACTAGTTACCAGCCGGTCATAAGCCCGGATAAAGAGAAAAGGTTGGGCATAGGGCTAGCAACCCTACCCCGTAAAACCAATCCAATCTTTAAAGAAACTCCAAAGCACAAACAAAATATAAAAAATGAAAACAAACTCATTCCTCGCTGGAATCGGAGAGACGAAATGACGCCGGTTGGTGAAAGTCTTCGGGAAGCCAATTGGCCGATGTGTCTTCACTTCTCTCGATGAAAGTGAAAGTAAGGATGGGGACATGGAATGTCCGCACCATGTATGAACCTAGCGAGGCGGCCCAGATTGCCGAAGAAATGAGAAGGTATGGTATAGAAGTGCTAGGAATCTGCGAAAGCAAATGGAATCGAAGTGGACTCTCCAAACTGTCAACTGGAGAATCAATAATCTACTCCAATATTGTCACCCAGACGACAACCACGAGCACACTGAGTTTTGGAGTGGCTATCATGATGTCCCCAACACCATCGAAGGCTCTCATGCAGTGAAAACCAACCTCCTCCAGTATCAGGATCATGACAGCAAGATTCAACTCAAAAGGAAGGAAGGTCACAATCATACAACGCTACGCTGTGCACCTACAAATAATGCAGATCAAGAGAAGAAGGAGGAATTCTACAGACAACTGCAACCAGTATTGGACAAGACTCCAGTTGGCGACATGAATGCCAAACTGGGAACGGACAACACAGGAAGAGAACTTATCATGAGTCGAGAAGCGCTCAGTGAGATGAATGAGAATGGAAAACTGTTTGCAGAATTCTGCGCATTCAACAATTCGGTGATTGGAGGCAGCGTGTATGAACACAAGGTTATTCACAAAGCAACATGGATTTGATTTCACCAGACACCAGGACATACTACACTAAAAATCAGATCGACTTCACTTCAATCTGAATAAAGTGGAGACGCAGCCTACTGGACACATCAAAAAGGGGAGCAGATGTAGGTTCAGACCACATACTTTCTAGTGCAAGGAACATTCCAAATCAAGTTGAAAGCCTTCCAGAAGCTGGTGATGATAGACCACAGTTCAAGTTGAACACCCAAAACAAAAACTGCAGAACGAAACTACAAAGGACATCTTCACGTCAGCCATCAGAACAAAATGGGAGACACTGAGCAACATCCCTGAAGGAACCTGTGTGGATGAACCCTGGAAGTCTTTGAAAGCTATGTGGAAAGAAGCCTGCATAACCGTATCAGGAAGGAAGAAGAAAGAAGATAAGGAATGGATCTCGACGGACACATGGAAGCTGATAGAGGAGGGAGAGGAAGATGGTGAAGCAGAAGATGAACCAGTGGAGTGCAGGGATGACCAACGAGAAGAGGAACTGAGTACAACGTATAAAACACTGGACAAAGAAGTGAAGAAGAGTGCACGCAAAGACAAAAGGCACTTCCACGACATACTGGGAAGTGTGTAGGGGAGACAGAGACCTGACAACATTGTATCAAATAACCAGGCTAATATCTGGGAAGAGACCAACACAGATGAAACCAATGAAAGATAGTGAAGGAAACCTAGTTACCAAAGAGGAGAAACAAAGCAAGTAATGGGCTGACCACTTCAGAAAACTCTTGAATCGGCCATCACCTGCAACTCGTCCAGAAATACCACCAGCAACAGCAGAATTACCAGTAAACACAGGCCCTCCGATAAAAGCCGCAGTCCTGAACGCCACAAAGTTGCTGAAACCCAGGAAAGCAACAGGACCAGGTGGAATTCCGCCAGGAGCACTGAAAACAGTCGCAGAGACAACAGCAAACATGCTCACACCACTATTGCACAAGGTTTACAAGGAAGGAAGGAAAGGTACCTGCCCATTGATTGGAAGAAGGGCTACCTTGTAAAACTTCCAAAGAAGGGAGACTTAAGTCTTCGCAAGAACTGGTGCGGAATCATGCTCCTGTCCACTCGAAGCAAAATATTAAGCCGCATCATCCTGGAGAGACTAAAGGATGCGCTGGATTCAAAACTACGACTGGGACAGGCTGGATTCAGAAAATACAAATCATGTGCGGACCAAATTGCAACGCTACGCTACGCATCGTCATAGAACAGCGTACAGAATCACAGTCGACTGGACCTTTATCTCAACTTCATCGATTTTGAAAAGGCCTTCGACAGCGTCAACCGACAAGTGATTTGGCAACTGCTTCAACACTGCGGAGTACTACGAACCTTTATCAACCTCATTCAACAACTATATGAAGACCCCACATGCCAAGTAATTCACAGTGGTAAACAGCTCAGTGATGCCTTTGAAGTGAATACAGGAGTAAGACAAGACTGTCTACTATCACCCATGATATTCTTGATTGTAGTGGACTGGATCATGCAACAAACAGTGGGGAGCGAGAAGAGGAGCATACGCTGTTTGACTGATAAAAAGACCCCAGAAGAAGATTTGGATTTCGCTGATGACTTGTGTCTAATGTCACACAAACTTGAAGATCTACAGGCAAAAACTAACAAGTTGGCAGAAGAGGCAGGGCAGGGCAGGGCAGTGAAGACGGGACTTCCTTCAGGTGAACGTAGAGAAGATGGAGGTGATGAAGATACCCAAGCAACTGCATCAACAACAAGCACCAGTCACCATCAACAAGAGAAACCTAAAGGAAGTAGTCTCTTTCACCTACCTAAGCAGCATCGTTTAAACTACAAGCGGCGGCACAGATGAGGACGTCAAAGCCAGGGTCGGAAAGACAGCAAAACAGGCCTTCCTTCATTAATCTGAAACCAGTGTGGAGATCTTCTGCACTCAGCATAAAGCGTGAACAAGATCCAGATTTTCAACACCAACGTCAAGTCAGTGCTTCTACATGGTTCAGAGACCTGGCGCGTCACGAAAAACATTTCCAACAAACTACAGACATTCACCAACAACTACCTACGCTCGATACTGAAGATTAGATGGCTGGAAAGAATAAGCAACAAGGAACCCTGGGAACGAACCGACCAAGAACCTATCGCCCAACAAATATGCACTGGAAGAAAGTGGAGATGGATTGGGCATACACTGAGAAGGCGGTTTAGGGTCATCATGCGCCAGGCCAGGTCGTCGAGTTGGACCCAAATGGGAAACGACGAGTTGGGTGTCTGAGGCGATGGTGAGATGAAGGAGATCATGTGAGGAAGAAGTGAAAGCTTGTGAGCAGTGGTGGAGCCAGGTTCTAAAGATTTCAGAGAACAGAGCTCATTGGAGACGTGCTAGTGAAGCCCTATGTGTTTCATGAGGAACCCAAGGGATAAATAAATATAAATAAATAAGGATGACTAGATCAAGATAATAAAGTGTCTAATTGTTTATCTGATACGTGTGAGCGGTCTGACTGGAGGTATTTGAGATACTGAGAATCACTGGTTAGAGACTCCTGATGAAATAATGGTGCCAGATCGGCCATAATGACGTATAGCAAAAAGTTCTGTCTAATGAGATGGGCAACGAGATAGAATACACTGAACACCTTGATAGTGTTTGGTGGATGTAAAGAAAAGTTCAATGAGCGGTTGAAATCTTTCCTCTGCCTAGCTACAATTTGTCATTTTGCAGGTAATCTCTTGTTCTACATGTTATCCTGCACAGATCTTGAGCTTGATATTTCCATCCAAGATTGTATGCTTTTTTTGTCTAGTTATTCACTAATCCATAGTTATCACCCTTGACGTTGCTTTATTTACTACTTATTTGCAGTCCTATAAGCAGCTCTCACTACATGTTTTTCAATTCAGCATCTTTCTATTGAAGATTATTTTTTGACACTGAAAGTGGTTGGAATTAGCAGGGTAGCTCATAATGTAGTACTTTCGAATGAAGTATAGTTATAGTATAGTCACACTTGATTCGCATCAATTAGCATCACAAAATTTTATGGCAAGCGTTCGAGACCAATAGTTTCCAGAAATCACTGTAAGAAGTTGAGATCAATACCACCGTCATTGAGAGTTAAATAACTTTTCCTTGTCTTCAACATAAACTGCGAGACTAATTTTATAAAATAACCAAAGGAAACCTATGTTAGAACATCGATATTACTCTATGTTGCTCCAATGAAACTGTACTTCAAGAAGATATAACCTTAGCATATACTTCACAAAATAAGCACCAAGTATTAAAACACATACACACTTAGAAATAAATAAATAAGAGAGGGAACTAGTGAGCTAGTGAATGAACACGAGAAAGAGAGAGAAAAGGATACGTCCCGGTACCAATGGACTGATGTTAACAAATGCGAAACTCAACTCTGACTGATAGAAAACACAATCCGGTTTAATTGTATGTGGACCAAAAGTGAAGTCTGACGATTGAATAGCTTAACAGGCAGTAACAAAAATAAAATAAACAAATAAATAGAACGAAAACAAAAATGCAAAAAATACTACTAAATACACTATGTATAAAATAATCATTAATATAAGTAAAAAACTTGGGCACTGTGGTAGAATGTAATTCCATATTCTATTTGTTTATTTGATATAAAGCGCACAGTGATACAGTATTATTTACTTGATTACGTTTCGAGCATAAATTATTGCTCATAATCATATCAATGTAATCACACTTCTTTCGATATCTGATTTTATAGTCCTGTCACCTGACCTCTCTTTGTTTTTTTGTTTTTTGATTGGTAGTAAAGTTTTCCATATCTCTGGTATAGGTGTTGCGTCATTCCTATTACATGTGTTGGGTGTGGATTCGATGAACAAAGATTCAGTAATTAATCTCCCTCTCCACCTAGCTATATTAGACTTAAGTACAGTGGTTTTGTCCCACCCTATTGTGTGGTTGTGTGTTAATGAATGTAATGCAATGGCCGAGTGTTTTTCTAGGTTATTGATCTTATTGGGGTCTGCCGTTCTATGTTTAGCTAAATTCCTATGTTCTGTTAATCTAACTGACCCCGACCGGCTAGTTTGACCTATGTATTTGACTTCACAGTCATTACATGGAATTTGGTAGATTATTTTATTTTGCTTAATTGGTTCTATCGGATCTTTTAGCCGACAAAGCTTACCTCTAAGTGAGTTTGTTGGTTTAAATGCCACCCTAATTCCAACCTTGTTGAGAATCCTACGTATGGTTTCTGATGTTCCTTCCTTGTATGGTATCACAATAGAGGTGCTGATTTCCTTTCTACTTATGTTGTCACTATTATTTGTATTTGTATTAGTGTTATTATTTTGCTTCTTATGTGTCCGTGTGAATTTCTTAATAAAATGATGGGGATAATTATTAATTATTAACGCTTCTTTTATGTGTTTCAATTCCTTTTTTAAGTCCTTACAATGACTAGTGAGTTTCTCAGCTCTGTTATTTAGACATTTGACTAAACCCGCTTTAACTGACACTGGATGAGATGACTTGAAGTCTAGATACCTGTTAGAATGTGTTGGTTTTCTGTAGACGGTAGTATCTAAACCACCATCTATCCTTCGTTTTATTCTGCAATCCAACATAGGTAATTCTGCTTGTTCATTTTCTACTTCGTAAGTGAATTGGAAAAACACTCAGCCATTGCATTACATTCATTAACACACAACCACACAATAGGGTGGGACAAAACCACTGTACTTAAGTCTAATATAGCTAGGTGGAGAGGGAGATTAATTACTGAATCTTTGTTCATCGAATCCACACCCAACACATGTAATAGGAATGACGCAACACCTATACCAGAGATATGGAAAACTTTACTACCAATCAAAAAACAAAAAAACAAAGAGAGATCAGGTGACAGGACTATAAAATCAGATATCGAAAGAAGTGTGATTACATTGATATGATTATGAGCAATAATTTATGCTCGAAACGTAATCAAGTAAATAATACTGTATCACTGTGCTCTTTATATCAAATAAACAAATAGAATATGGAATTATAAAATAATCAGTTACTTCACTTTTATCAACGTTGAATTATTCACATAACGTAGCCTTAGATTTATACATACATACATACACATATGTATAGACGCGCACCCACGCTATTTTAACTTTTCATATTATATTCATGATAAATCTATGTATTGTGAAGAGAATATATCTATAATAAATAAACTTTGGATAGACTAATTAAAAATATGGATGTGTTAATTAACATATCATAGAGTAGGCTAATACAAGCAAACATTGTTTCCAGTTTTGCTATGAGCAGTATGACTACTAGTCGTATATATTGCTAAAAAATAAATAAATAAACACATTCTACTCAGTGTATTGACGTTCACATATCTAAAGTGATAATATTAGTAACAGTAATGATAGTAATAATAATAATGATATTGATACTACCACTACTACTAATAATAATGAGTAACAGCAATAATAATAATAATAATAATAATAATAATAATAATAATAATAATAATAATGGTGCTACTATTAATAACAGTAATATCAGTAGTAATAATGATGGATCGTGGCTGGCAGAGGAATCCAGGTTGCGCATTTCGTCCTATTTGGGACTCGTCAGCTGGATGTGCCTGCTTCCCAGTGAGTGTTGTTAACCCATGGAATTTGGACTCGAGAGCGATCGCTTTAAACGCCAGAGCGTTATCCACTACACCAACGAGCCACGATAGCCAGTAGGAACAACATTACTCACTGGGAAGCAGGTACATCCAGCTGAGTCCCAAATAGGACAAAATGCGCATCCTGGATTGCACTGCTAGCCACGATCCATCATTAAAATAGTTAGAAAACAGACAATATCGAGGCATCCGCATAGGAGCCCATATGCCATTGGAGACCTATCAATTCGGCCCAATGAACGACGGTATGATAAAAAAACAATTATACTTTGTAATAATGATAATGAAATTGATTACAACAATGTTAACAATATTAATAATACATTGTACAAGATGTATTTTTACTTGTGCAATCAAGCCGGAGTGTAATGGAACAAATAAACACATAAATATTCTGTAATATTCCGCAACGTTTCGATCTTGCTAAAAAGATTCATCTCAATATTAATCATTAAAACAGCATATTCCAGCATAAACCCAGCGTCTTTAAAACATCGAAACAAAACTTTCCTGAACATTTCAACACACAAGACAGTTTACTAAGGCAAAATATACGCTATTTCATTAAAATCAAAAAATGAAAAAAAACAAACATTAACACATCAAATATTTAGTGCGCAATGGCCCTTGATAAGCTGCTTCGTCTCTCAAACCCACAAATTATGACAAGTCTTCACAAGTTTATATTTCTTACTAAAATTTGTCGACCACACCCGGTCAACTAGTAAACCAGATACCAGCCGGTCATAAGCCCGAATAAAGAGAAAAGGTTGAGCATAGGGCTAGCAACCCTACCCCGTAAAACCAATCCAATCTTTAAAGAAACTCCAAAGCACAAACAAAATATAAAAAATGAAAACAAACTCATTCCTCGCTGGAATCGGAGAGACGAAATGACGCCGGTTGGTGAAAGTCTTCGGGAAGCCAATTGGCCGATGTGTCTTCACTTCTCTCGATGAAAGTGAAAGTAAGGATGGGGACATGGAATGTCCGCACCATGTATGAACCTAGCGAGGCGGCCCAGATTGCCGAAGAAATGAGAAGGTATGGTATAGAAGTGCTAGGAATCTGCGAAAGCAGATGGAATCGAAGTGGACTCTCCAAACTGTCAACTGGAGAATCAATAATCTACTCCAATATTGTCACCCAGACGACAACCACGAGCACACTGAGTTTTGGAGTGGCTATCATGATGTCCCCAACACCATCGAAGGCTCTCATGCAGTGAAAACCAACCTCCTCCAGTATCAGGATCATGACAGCAAGATTCAACTCAAAAGGAAGGAAGGTCACAATCATACAACGCTACGCTGTGCACCTACAAATAATGCAGATCAAGAGAAGAAGGAGGAATTCTACAGACAACTGCAACCAGTATTGGACAAGACTCCAGTTGGCGACATGAATGCCAAACTGGGAACGGACAACACAGGAAGAGAACTTATCATGAGTCGAGAAGCGCTCAGTGAGATGAATGAGAATGGAAAACTGTTTGCAGAATTCTGCGCATTCAACAATTCGGTGATTGGAGGCAGCGTGTATGAACACAAGGTTATTCACAAAGCAACATGGATTTGATTTCACCAGACACCAGGACATACTACACTAAAAATCAGATCGACTTCACTTCAATCTGAATAAAGTGGAGACGCAGCCTACTGGACACATCAAAAAGGGGAGCAGATGTAGGTTCAGACCACATACTTTCTAGTGCAAGGAACATTCCAAATCAAGTTGAAAGCCTTCCAGAAGCTGGTGATGATAGACCACAGTTCAAGTTGAACACCCAAAACAAAAACTGCAGAACGAAACTACAAAGGACATCTTCACGTCAGCCATCAGAACAAAATGGGAGACACTGAGCAACATCCCTGAAGGAACCTGTGTGGATGAACCCTGGAAGTCTTTGAAAGCTATGTGGAAAGAAGCCTGCATAACCGTATCAGGAAGGAAGAAGAAAGAAGATAAGGAATGGATCTCGACGGACACATGGAAGCTGATAGAGGAGGGAGAGGAAGATGGTGAAGCAGAAGATGAACCAGTGGAGTGCAGGGATGACCAACGAGAAGAGGAACTGAGTACAACGTATAAAACACTGGACAAAGAAGTGAAGAAGAGTGCACGCAAAGACAAAAGGCACTTCCACGACATACTGGGAAGTGTGTAGGGGAGACAGAGACCTGACAACATTGTATCAAATAACCAGGCTAATATCTGGGAAGAGACCAACACAGATGAAACCAATGAAAGATAGTGAAGGAAACCTAGTTACCAAAGAGGAGAAACAAAGCAAGTAATGGGCTGACCACTTCAGAAAACTCTTGAATCGGCCATCACCTGCAACTCGTCCAGAAATACCACCAGCAACAGCAGAATTACCAGTAAACACAGGCCCTCCGATAAAAGCCGCAGTCCTGAACGCCACAAAGTTGCTGAAACCCAGGAAAGCAACAGGACCAGGTGGAATTCCGCCAGGAGCACTGAAAACAGTCGCAGAGACAACAGCAAACATGCTCACACCACTATTGCACAAGGTTTACAAGGAAGGAAGGAAAGGTACCTGCCCATTGATTGGAAGAAGGGCTACCTTGTAAAACTCCCAAAGAAGGGAGACTTAAGTCTTCGCAAGAACTGGTGCGGAATCATGCTCCTGTCCACTCGAAGCAAAATATTAAGCCGCATCATCCTGGAGAGACTAAAGGATGCGCTGGATTCAAAACTACGACTGGGACAGGCTGGATTCAGAAAATACAAATCATGTGCGGACCAAATTGCAACGCTAC